GACAGACAAAGCAGACCGTTATTTCAGGACGTCTGGACTTCCAGGTGGCTCTTTAGAATGAGCAGACTCATTATTCAAAAGCCTCCGGGTCAGCTGACCGCACCTCTGGAGTACAGGGGGCTGAGGGGCAGCCGGGCTGGGGAGGGGAGTGGGGGGGGTGCGTGAGGGGTGCGGGGTGGGTCAGGGGGCTAGGCCCCTTTTCCCAGCCCCCAAGAGCTGCCTGAACAGGAGCGATCCCCCGCATGGGGACAGCTCTTTCCGGACGGAACCTGGAGGGGCGGCTGTGGGGTCCAGTGAGTAAGTTCCTCCGAGAGGGCGTGCCGAGGTGCCGTGGGACACAGATGTTTCCTGGACAGTCTCACGAGTTCAGGGGGAGAGACAGATGCGCAGGCCCAGACCCCCCCCCCCCACGCTTGTCCTCCCCACGGCGAGGTTTCTCAGGAAGGGCCCTTCTGGGCATCCCCACGGCCCGACCAGCTGAGCGGCAGTTCTCCCACTGTTGTGGAAATCCACGCGAGGAGACTGAACGAGGGAAAACTACTGGAGCAGTCGGGATAAGCGATGCCGATGAAATGTGCCCGGGGCTCAGCATCATCAAACTAATGAGCTATTGTTACTTCTCGCAGGACCGGGCTGTTAGGAGGTTTCCTTTATTCCTGTGCCCCTCTCTGTTGCCTGCGGGGTTGGTCTGTGCCGGCCCCTGGCTTTTCCCAGGGAGGGTGTCCCAGCACCGCGGCGTCTCCTGGGGCTCCGACTTCACAGGGCGGCACCGTGAAGCTGACCAGCAGGTGGCGCTCACCTCAGGGGGACGGGTGGGGACCTGGCCTTTTCATGGGCAAATCCCGGGACCTGAGTAGCCACCGGTTTTCCTTTCAAGGACAGTTAGTGACTTGAGAGGAAGTCTGCACCCCGGTGCCTGAATGGTCACCCTGGCTGCTGGACGCCGGGGAGCCACGCAGAGGAGGGCGTGGTGGGGCCCTCTGTGGGGAGGCGGGTTTTCCCTGGACTCCCGCCGTCTTTCCCGTAGGCTGGGCCTTCCCGCTCACACCCTCCCTCTGCGGCTTGAGGGGTCAGTCCTTTCCTGTCGCTCTCTCCGAAGAGTGACCCTCCAGCTTCAGGCCGCTGTCCTGGGCTGGGGAGCTGGACGTTCGGAAGGGCGAGGAAGTGAGCGACTTTTCCTCTCCGCCCCCCGCCTCCTGTTCTTCGTCCCCCGTGTTCTGCTCTTCCGCGTGGGGGCCGCTTGCCTCTCCAGCTCCCCAGATTACCCAGGGGGGTCTGCAGAGGGATCAGCTGCCCCGTCCTTGCTTTCTCCCCTGCGGCTCGGAAGCCGTCTTCCTCTGGCCTGTGAGGCCGGTCACCCTTCCTCCGCCGGCTTTCCTAGTTTCCAGACTGTTGAATTTTCTTGTCTGCTGCCACCCCATCTTCTTGGTCCTCGTGGATTAGTGCCTTTTGAAATATAAAGTGACGAACTACCTTTGAGAGCAGTTTCGGATTTACAGAGAAGTCGAGCAGAGGGTACGGAGAGTCCCCTACACGGCCACCATGCGCTGCTTAACGATGAAAACAGGTTCTGAGGAAACGTGTCCGTAGGTGACTTAGCCGCGCTGCAAACATCCCGGAGGTGCTTACAGGAACCTCGACGGTCCAGCCTGCTGCTGGACGTCACGGGGCAAAACAACCCAAGGTTAACCCCAACCCAGGGGGAAACGGTGTCACCAGGACAGGCGGGAAACACGAGGCGTGTGCGGCCGCTGCCCACGTGGCACGGCGGTGCATGCTGTGCGTGGGAAGAGGGCTCTGTGGTGCAGTAATGGCGAACCTGCAGTGCGGCAGCTATGTGGACCGGGGCACAGTCCCTTGTTGTCGCGCACGATGGACGCGCACCGTTGTGTCTGTGACACGTCACACGGCGTTCCCGCAGGCGTCACCGCGAGCCCGGGAGTCACACCTGGATGCTGCAGGGCGTGGGCCCGCCGTCCCCAGTCCAGTGACTTCAACCTTGCTCATCTCCCGGCACATAAACTAGCGACTAAAACTCTGCGGCACACCCCAAAATTTTCTTTTGCCCATCGGACACAGAAATAGGTATAAATTAGATTCATTCACACCAGACAGCTACGGTTGTGTTGGCTGTTGTCAATTTTTTGTGTTTGACTGTCTAAGGGGAGAGAGGTCCGTGCCCCTGACTACAGAGGCAGGCAGTGCCTGTTTTAAACGTCCTTGCAGCATGCCGCCGAAAATCACTGCACTGGGTGATAGGAATTTTTAGCTCTGTTATAATCTTTTTTAAAAAAGATTATTTATTTATTTTTTATTTTTAGAGATAGGGAAAGGAAGGGGGAAAGAGAAGGAGAGGCACATTAATGTGTGGTTGCCTCTCATGCATCCCCTCCTGGGGACCCAGCCTGCAACCCAGGCATGTGCCCTGGCTGGGAATCAAACCGGCGACCCTTTGGTTCTCAGGCCAGGACTTAGTCTACTGAGCCGCACCAGCCAGGGCATAATTTTTTAATTAACTTATTACTATTTTTTAAAACCTCACTCCAGGATATGTTTATTGATTTCAGAGAGGGAGGACGGGAGAAGGAGAGAGAGAGAAACTTCGATGTGAGAAATATTGATTGGTTGCCTCTGGTACATGCCCGGACCAGGGATCAAACCCGCAACCCTGTGAGGTACACGGCGTCGCTCCAACCACCGGGGCCACCGGCCAGGGTCTCCATCATGGTGTTAAGGGACCATCTGTCATGGACTGAAAGGTCCTTACAAAGAGCATGATGTTATATAGATATGAACCTATGCCTAGAAACTAAAATATTTTAGAGTCCATGTATGATTTTCCAAGATAATTTTGCTACTCCAGTCCATGTTCTATTTATTGCCGTGTGTTTAACACTTTAGAAGGTCAGGTGTGGTAGGGATTCTCTGAAGGCCAGTTTGTCACGCCAGTTGCGGTGCTCACCCCTCGGCCACAGAGAAGCATTTACAGGATGGGGCTGCCGCTGCTCTCACGGGTGGTGGTGGCTGCCGTTCCCCGCAGAGGGGCCCGACTGTGCAGGAGGGGCGGCTCCCCAGGGGTGGGCGCCCGAGGGCGGGCCTCCGAGCAAAGCCCGGGCCGCGGGGCGGGGCACTGAGGCCCCGCGGCTGTGCCCCGTGTGTGTATGTGCTCGTGGGGATGGGGGCGCGTGGGCTGTTGGCCGCGCTGCACAGCGGTCCACACGGTGCCCCTTGGTGCTGCCTGCCTCCCAGATGCTGGGAAACACCTGAGCTCTGCACCCAGGAAGTGAATGACGTTGCCCCGCAGACCAGTCAGTCACTGTGAGCCTGGCGGCAGGAGACGCGGGCGCCCAGCACCCTCAGAGGTGCAGGAGCGGGGGGGGGGGGCGCCCTGGGCAGTGGAAAATGAACAAACAAACAAACAAGACTCTTCTTGTGCCGAAACCCCAGCCTCCCCCAAAGGCGCCCGCCGGGAGCCCTGCACTACAGGCCCGCGTGGAGCCAGCCTTCCCTCGAGTCTCCCCTCCACCCAGGGCCTGGGCGGTGGGGAGGCTATTGGGATATTTTGCCTTTATGCTAAGGAGTTACCACGCGCCTCGAACCCTTCAGGGCTATTTCTGAGACTTCACTGGGATGTGCCAGAAAAATCCTCCCTCACACTCGCGGTTGAATGGAAGATGCTAATTTCCACCTACTGCATAAGAAGGTATTTTAGGCACATGGGACGGGCCTCACTTAAAGAAACGGACACCCTCTGAGACCGACGGGAGGGGCCCTGAGGTCCGAAGCTCCAGCGCCCATGAACCGGAGGGACCCTGGGGTGCGGGTTTATCCCGCACTGGTCTAGCCGCGTCTGCCCGGGAAGCTCAGGCGTCTGAAGGGAAGCCCCGACCCAGGTCACCTCCAGTCTGGTCCTACGCGCAGACACACTCGGCTCAGGGGACCGGAGACGGTTAACCGGGAACGCCAGAGGTGCTCGCAGGCAATGCCCCAGGTGCGGGCGGGGCCTGGGAGAAAGTGTCTCAGGCCGCGCGCTCCGGAGGTTTCCAGGAGAGGACTCGCGATCTGGAGAGCCCTGGGGAACCCGCAGGGGGGCGGTGCGCTCCGGCTGGGGTGGAGACGCAGAGGAGGTTCTGATAAGCTGCGGGGGGAGGGGAAGCGCGGAGCCTGGGAGAGGGTCCCGGGGTAGAGTGCCCGCGAGTGGAAAGGGGTCGGGCTGGCCGGTGCGTGGGGAGGCTGAAGTTCGCGGTGGCCAGCGGCGCCTAAAAGTAGAGCACCAAAGCCGGTTCCCTTTTCCTCCCTCCCCTTTTTCTGTCCTTTAAAGAAGCGGCCTGTCGCGACATTCCAGCCGCAGCTCACAGGTGTTCTGTCCCGCAGGCGTCTCGGGTGGAGCCAGGGGGGCGGCGGAGGGAGTTGGCCAGGTAGGACCAGACCCGCCCCGGCTTCTGGGGATAACGCTCACTCCCCGCACAGCCCGGGGGTCAGCGGAGGGCTGACCCTGCGAGTGACTGGGCTGCCCCCGCGATCTCCCGAGCCGACCGTCCGCGGTCGCGCGCGGCGGCTGTCACACAGGGTCGCTGTTCACAGGTTTCGTCCCGCTCCTGCTCACACCGGACGGGGGAAGTGACACCTCGGGGCCCGGGGAGGGCTGCGCCGGGGCGAGGGCGGGAGGGTCCCGGAGAGAGCAGATACCTCTGCCGGCGCGTCTGCGGGACCTGCCGACTCCCACCGCCGGGCGCTCCGCCCGCGGGCGCGGGGACGCGTCGGCCCCGGCCCCCGGCTGTCCTCTCCCGCAGCCAGCAGAGGGCTCCCGGGCCCGCGCGCGCGCCCTCTCCGGGCGCAAGGTTTCAGGGTTGGGGAGCGAGGCGGTGATCCGAAGCTGAGACGTCACCACTGAGGCCCCGCGGCGTCCCCCGGGGTACGCCCCACGCGGGGAGCCGGCGCCCCGGCGCCAAGGCCGCGGGGACCGTGCGGGGCGGTTCTCGCGAGGCGGGGCGGAGACGCAGGAGGAGGAGAGGAGAGGGGGAGGAGGTGGAGGAGGCGACGCAGGAGGAGGCGAAGCAGGAGGAGGAGACGCAGGAGGAGGAGACGCAGGAGGAGGAGGAGAGGGGGGAGGGCCGCGGCTGCCCCCGCCCAGCCGAGCCTCGGGAGCGCCGGGAACCCCAGTCCCCGGCGCGCTCTCCGCGCCCTCCCACGCCGCCCGCCCGCACCTAGGGTCGCAGGTGCCCCGATCGGCCGGAGCCTCTGCGGAAGCAAGGGCGCAGCCGGGTCAGGCGCGGGGCCGAAGCGGGGTCCTGCGGGCTCTCTGTCCGTCCGTCCACCCATCGGCCGCGGGAGCTCCTAGGAGGCGTCATGTAGCAGCGGCCGCAGCCCCAGCCCCTGGCGGATCAGCAACTATTTATTTATTTATTTGTTTGTTTTTTTTGGGGGGGGGGCAGGGGCGCGGCCAAACAGTCTCTTCGGCCCGCCTTCTCGCCTCCTCCCATCTGCTCGCCGCACCAGCCTCTCAAAAGCGAGGGGTTCGAGAGGGCGGGGCGGTGGGTCGGAGTGGGACCCGCGGTCCCGGCGTGCGGAAGCCATGGCCGAGGAGAGCAGCGAGGTGCCCCGCGAGCTGACAGGTAAGAGGGCCCCCCGCCTCCCTGCTCCTTTCCCCCGAGCGCTGCGCTCCCCGGACGAGCCCCGCGCCCCGGGTCGGAGCGCGGTTGGGTGGGGCCCCGGGAGCCGGGGAAGTTCGCTCCCGGCCGGCCGCCCGGAGAGCCGAGTCCGGGGAGGCCGGCGGGGGCCACCGGGAGCCCGGCGCCACCTTCCGCGGCCACCAGGGGGTGGAGGTTGGCGGAGACGGGCCCGCCCGGGTCTCGGGAGTTGTGCGGGCGAGGAGACCCCCTAGCAGCGCCCGGCCCGCGGCCCCCCCGGGGAAGTCCCGGGGAGCCCAGCGCTGGACGCGGGCGAGCGCTCAGGAGGTGGTCTCCGGCAGTGCCCCCCCTGCAGATCCCAGACCGCGGGCGGGGGTCCCCGCCGACCAGCAGACTTGGGGCAGGGGCGCCGGTCTGGGCGCGGACTCAGCCTGGAAAGGCGTGGCTCCGGTTGGCGAGCCGGGGGCGAAAGGGTTACCGACTGACGCAAACTCGGGCCGGGAGACGGAGGGTTAATGACAGAAGCCTTCTTTCAATAATAATTAACCTACCTGTGCTCCCCTCCCCGGACCTCTCAGGGAACCTGTCCGGGGCACCTGGTGCAGAGCGCCCCGTTGTCTGAGTCCCTGGGGTTGTTTCTGGGGTGGCGGGGCGGGGGCGGGGCTGGATTTCACGTCTCGGGGTTTCACGTAAGTTCTGCGGCGGCCGAGACGGCCGGGCTGAACCGCGGTGGGGGGCAGCTCCCGGGAACCGGCGAGTCCGCGAGCGCGCGTGTGATGTATCGTAACAAGGTGTGCGCGCGCGCGCGGGCAAGGTGTGCCCCGGTGACCCGAACCCCCCGCCCCCTCCGGCCCGGTCCTTGGCACCCGCCGGGCCCGCGGCGCTGGCAGGTGCCGTGGGGCAGCGCTGCCCCTTCGCTCTGCGCGTGAGGAATTCGCCCCCCGCCCCCCGCTCCCCCTCGAGCCCCGGCACTTTGCGGGGGTTCGTGCAGCTCCCCCGGCAGCGCCGGTTAGCCCGGCAGGTGACGCCCGGCGGAGAGGGGGCCCTGCTTTTGTTGAATGGGACGGCAAACGCCGGGAGTTGGGTTCGCGCATTTCGGGTCCGGAGTAGCTCCCGCCGCCCGCGCCGCGCCCCGCCCCCTCTCTCTCCCCAGCCCGCCGGCGTCGGCCGCCCAGATAAGCATCTGCAGCCTTTGCTGGATGGAGCGAGTGGTCCGTCCGGTTCTGGAGCCCAGACCTTCCCGACACCTTGCCCGGAAGAGGAAACGCGCCCTGGGCTCGCGCGGCCTGCCGAGGTCCCGGGAAGGGAGGGGTGCCGCGCGGCCAGGGGGGGGCAGAGCGTCCACTAGCCGCCTGAGCCTGGGAGCGGGCGTGGAGGTCGCGGCTTAGACCCAGGAGGGAGGGCGCCGGAGGGCGGCGTGGAGGCGAGGCGCCCGGTGCAGACGGATGGCTCCCAGAATGAGTACTGGGGTGCGTGCGCTGTGAGAGTTGACTTTGGCCTTTATCAGGAAGGGGATTTTTGTGCTGATCCAGCCTCGCCCGCGTCACTGCCTTCCAAACAAGGGACACAGCTTTGGGGACGTGCCTGGTCGGGTCCCTTTGGCCGGCTGGGCGTGGGGCTGGGGCGGGGGATGGCTGTCCCCGGTCTCCTCTCCAGTTTCCAGCGCTCCCAGGAGTCCCCTCCTGACCCATTCACAACGGCAAACTCCTGAACGCTCCCCCACGCGGCGGTGCCCCCGAGGCAGTGAGACGTGTATTTCTCTGCCTGTGAACGTCGGCCGGCTGTTCACTGGAACAGCGAAGTTTCAGGGAAGAGCGAGAGGAGAGTGTCCCCTAGGGCCGCCCGGAGGTGGCCGGGCCACTCACCCTGCAGCGTGGGGCCGGCCTCTCCCGCTGTGTCCCCGTGGGAGGTCGGGGTCCCCCGGAACCAGGGGCAGTGGGGGAGGGCCCCGCTCACAGTCCTGGGGTGCAGAGGGTGGCCGGCGGCTGTGCCGTCAGGTGTGTGCGGAGACGCCCCGCGCATGCACGGTGAAAGGGGGCCTCGAGGGACGTGTCCCCAGGTGCGCGCAGCCCGCAGGCTGAGCGTGCGAGGTCACACCTGTGGTGCTGGGCGGTCACTTTGGTTAAGGAGGGGACGGACCGGTCGGAGGTCAGAGGGTCTGAGGCCTGGGTGAGGGTCGAGGTCAGGGGTCAGGAGCCACCCGGGAGGCAGTTTTGGGAGAGGCGGTGACCGCTCCCTCTCCACCTGAGGGAGAGCAGCTGGGGACGGTGGCTGGAGAGGAGGAGGAAGATGAAGAGCTTGGTGTGGGACTGGCCAGTGTTGGGGGCTCCTTCCTGCCACCATCTGGATTTTCAGGTCTCCCTCTCTCTCTCTCCTTCCCGCCCCCTCCCGTTCTGCCACCTGTTGGCCACCCTGGGGTGCTGTGCCGTGACGACCGTGGACGGCCCGGGGGCCAGGAGCACCTGTCCCTGGCTCCGTGGTTCGGCCCCGCTCTTTGCCTGTGTCCTCCCTTCCCGCCGGGGCGGTCCCGGGACGTGGCGGTCCCGGACGTGGCCGGCCTGTGTGGCCTGTGGCGAACGGAGGGTGCCGGGGTGCGGGCGGCCCGCCCAGCGAGGCTGCGAGGGCCTCCTGCGCCGTGGTGTGTGCGGTTCTGAGCGCCGAGACGCTGCCGGCAGGCTCTCTGCTTGTTCTCTCGCACAAGTGCTCCCTGTTTGCCCGGCACGGTGACCTCACGCCTTTGCACAGGCCGCTGCGTCACGATCTTTTCTGTTCGCTGCAGCTTTGAGCACACAGGACCGGCACACAGTAGGTGTTCATTAAATACTTGGCGAGTGGTAACTACCAGGCTCGTTAAAACGAGCAAATAATTTACAAAAGACAAACAGCAATAAAAACAATCAAAAAGCCCTGGCTGGTGTGGCTCAGTGGATTGAATGCTGTCCTGTGAACCCCAGGGTCGCCGGTTCAATTCCCAGTCAGGGCACACGCCTGGGTTGCAGGTCAGGTCCCCAGTGGGGGGCGCACAAGAGGCAACCACACATTGATGTTTCTCTCTCTCCCTCCCTTCCATTCTGTCTAAAAATAAATAAAAATGAAATAAAAAAATCAAGAACCTTTCTCCAAGTGCTCCCTGCACCCCGTGACTTCCCTAACCATGAGAGACGGTAACGGCACTGTCCCCTTCTTCCAGAAAGCGTGAAGGACTTGCTTGGCAGGAAGACCAGGATCGGTGTGAAGAAGAAAGTCAAGCTGGAAGTGAAGGGGGACAAACTTGAGAACAAGGTGCTGGTAAGTGCTCCCGTGTTTCCCATAAAACGTTGCAAACGAAACGGGTTTCCCTCCCTTGTTTCGGTTGCTGGATTTCCGCGCGGCCCTGGTTCTGCTTTACGTCCTGTTCGGGAGTCGTGAGGAGCACTTTGCCAGGTCGCACTGGAGGGTGTGCCCGCTGCGAGCTGAGGGAGGGGGGCGGTTCAGATTGCAGACGCCGACGTCCTCACGCCGCGGTGCCCGCCGCCGTGGCGGTTCCCCGGAGTGGCTCCCACGCCCCAGAGTGTGGTCGGTGGCCCTTGTTCACCGTCGCCTGTTGCGGCCGATTTACGACGATCTTATTCGTCAGGAGCTACAGAGAAGTTCTGGAAAAGTCGTCCCCAGTCAGCTTTGCATTTCACCAGGTTTTCGCGAGTCCAGGGCCGCCTGACGGGGGACGGCCTGAGGAGGTGCAGGAAACACCTGTCCTTCCTCGTGGCGCCTCGGTGTTTCGGGGGCAGTGCCTGCGGAGAGGGGGCGCGGGGCTCCGTCCAGCCTGCGACGGGAGGGGCGGGGCTGAGGGGCCGGGCCGCCTGGGGGGTCGGGTGGGGCCCTCGGAGAGGCGGGTGGGTTCACGTGGCACTTCCGTGGCTGAGCTCGTGGGAGACCCGCACGTGAGCTCGCGTGGACACATCCCGGTGGCGTGTGTGTGTGCGCGCGCGTGTGTGGGAACCGCATCCTGTGTGTCTCTTCCCTGCTGGGGGTCCTCAGACACGCGTGGAACCAGGGGCTGGCACTCTAGCCGTGAGTTGTTTTCGTTCCGCTGCAGCCATTTTCAGCGGGTGTTTCACGAACACTAGTGTACCTCTTTTCCTGGGGGCGTTCCCCCCGCCCCGAGGAGTATTTAAAAACAAAGCCCAAGCATACGGCATCGAAAGAGAATATTTATAATGTTCTGAGTCTTCAGTCGAAATCGCTCCAGAATTCGGTGTCTTTCTGATAGTCTGTCCTGAGGGTCTTTGAAGCTCTCCGCCCGCCTCCCTGTGGCCGTGAGGACGTGGGCTGCGGTGGTTCCTCCGTCTGTGTTCTGTGCACACCAGTCGGCGGGGGGGGGTTGTGCACAGAGAAATGCACGTGGGGGAGGGACCTCGAGTGGCGTCTGCCACAGGACGTGTGCTCGCCGACCGTGGGACCGGCACCGTCCACGGCGGAGGGGAGCGTGGCCGTCCGCCTGTCCGCCTGCTGTACGTGGCTTCAGTAAAGACCCAGTTTCCTTGGAGCGGGTTCTACTTGGGGCGTCCCACGGTGGGGGGGCTGTGGTACTTCCGGGGGGGCGGTCGTGTAGGGGGAGGGAGTTTTGTTTCTGCCGTTTCCTGTTTGCCGCGTGGGAGGTCGGCCCCCTGTCGGTCTGAGCCGGTGGGAGCCGGGCCTCTGCGTGGACGCCGTCCCGGGCACTAGGGAGAGACCCAGGTCCCGAGTGCCCTTTACCAAGTTAAACTTCTCCAAGACAAATGTAAACGTTCGATACAATGCAGTGAGTGCCATTTAAAAGTGGTTTTGATTAGTACTTAACGCCCAGATTTGGGGGAGGGGGGACAGCTCATCTTCACGTTCGCTGGCCCCCATTAATTACAAAAACACCGGAATTTGAGGAATTCTCTCCCCTAGTCCGGAGTCTGAGTGCGTCGTAGTGTCCCGGCGCAGACGGGTCCTGGCCGCCACCGTCCCTCCCTCGCCCGGGCAGGAGTTATTAATAGGAACGCTCAAGTCTGACGGCTTCGCGTCTGAGCCGATGGCCTACCAATTAACCTTCTTTCTTGGTGGTTGGTTCTGGAGTTTCTGAGTTTTGAGAAATCCAGTTCCATAGATTAAAGCCGTGGGGGACGGCCCCAGCATGCGCGGAATGCGCGTCTGGCCCCCAAGGGGCGGGGGCTCCGGGGGCCCCTTCAGTGCTTCTCCTCCGCGTCGTCCTCCGTCTGTGGGGCTGCCTGTTGCTGGTTCCTGCTCTTACACCGGCAGATTTTACCCCGTTTCCAGCTGCTCTTCTGTGCAGGCTCTATGTTCATCTCTCGTCTTCCTTCCTCTCATGGCTCAAGATTTTATTTATTTTTAGACAGAAGGGGAGGGAGGGAGAAAGGAGGAAGAGAAACGTCACTGTGTGGTTGCCTCTCCTGTGCCCCCTACTGGGGACCTGGCCCGAAACCCAGGCCTGTGCCCTGACTGGGAATCGAACTGGCGACCCTGTGGTTTGCAGGCTGGCGTGCAACCCACTGCGCGACACCAGCCAGTTATGGCCACAGCAGCTAGCATTTACTGAGCAGTGACTGCAGGCGGGGCCCTGGGCTGAACCCCTGACGGTGTTCCTCCTCGTTCAGTCGGCCGCAGCCCGGGGGGCGGCACCGTTTGCGTCTCCACTGGAGGTGCCTGGGCTTCCCCGAGGCTGAGGGAACTGGCCGCAGGCCATCCAGCTGGTTAGTGACCAGTTAGTGACCAGCCAGTGGCAGAGTCAGGGTCTGAGCCGGCTGCGCCCGGCTGCTACCCCGTGTGCCCCAGGCGGGAAGGAGGCCGCTGGGCCGGCTGCCCCTCGGCTGGGTACCTCCAGCCGCGGTCGGGGGAGTCGGGCCCGAGAGGGGTCAGTGCTCCGTGAGAGGGGTCATCGCTGGACGTGACGTCCTGGCTGGGTGTGCGGACTTGCCCCTGTTCACCGTGGTGTGAACCCCCGCTGGGTGGACGGGCCAGTTCGCCGAGGGCGGAGACGCTGTCCTGGACGGAGGGAACGGAGCACGCCCGGAAGCCGGGCTTGCACTGAGCGCTCACTCCCGCCGTGGCCCCGAAACTCAGGCCAACGCCGGGACCGGTGGGACAGGGCTCTCCCTGCCACCTGTTCCCAGCCACGTCCGCGTGGACCTCACCCTGCCTCCCCGGGGAGGAGGTCGGGCCGGCAGCGAGGGGCCTGGAGCCGCCCCTGTTCTCGGGAGCGGGCCGCTCGCTCGGTGTTCACCCCGTTCCCTGCCCGGTCGGGGGGCTGGTGCTCGGGGCTCCAGGAGGCCGGGGAGGCCGAGCACGGAGCGCACACACGTGACTAGAGCCGGGTCCCCCCGGCGCGTTCAGGTCCATCCGATCGGAAGTGCTCAGGTGCCCAGGGGTCACGGGAGTGTGTCCATCGGGATGTGGAAGGGGACCCGTGTCTTGGCCGCATGGTGTTTCAGAGCCATCAGCCCGCCCGCGTGCCTGGCGCGTTGCTAAGGCCGAGGTAGGGGTGCCGTGTTCCCAGGTGTGTTTGTCTGGACACCCCCGCACCCATGGGTGGGGCCACCCACCGAGAGGCGTGCTGGCCCCTGAGCCCTGTGTCTGCGTTTCTTAGACCCCGATCCAGCCTCCCACCAGCTAATGGGCCTTCACCCACTTTCTGCGGTACCCGGACTTTGAAACATGTATTTTGATTTGTGTCTTCTTTTAAGATGGAACTTTCCATCTTTCTGTCGTTGTCGGGGCACACGCCGTGACAAGAAGGAGCACAGAGGGCTCCTGTGCCCCCCGACCCAGTTCCCCTACCAGTTCCCCCGTCTTTCGGAGCCACGACGCAGTGCCACGACCAGAGTGACACCGTGAGATACTGCACCGCCCGTCACCACGAGCCCCTCAGGCCCCTCCCACCACGCGCATGCGCCCATCACCACTCCGACCCCCCCTCCCCCCGTGCCTCTGACCTGCTCTCCATCTCTTCCTTCCTTCCAGCCCCCACCCCAGGGTGTGTCGGTTGATCTGGGATAGAGCGGGAGAGAGTAACATCACGCACGCCCCCCAACCGGGACTCGAACTCACAGCCTCCTGGGGTGCGGGACGGCCCTCCAGCCGAGCCAGCCGCCTGGCCGAGGCCCTTCTCCGGGCCTCTGGTTTGGTGACTTCACGGCGCTCCGGGAGCGTGGTCACGCGGCACACGCCGCGGCCTCCCGCCTGTGCTGGGCCGGGGGGTCGTTGGCCGTCGGGGGCTGTCAGCCGCGACACTGGGCAGAGACACTGGGGGCAGACATGTGCGTGAACAGGAGTCTCCCTCGCTCCCTGGTCCGTGCGCCCCCTGAGGCACGGGGGCGGGGGGGGGGTCATTTCCGGAGAAGCCGCCCGCCCTCTCCGGAGAGGCCAGGCCGCCGGCCCGCGCATTCCTCACCGGCGGTGCCCGAGGGACCCGGCCTGCAGCTCCTGGCAGCGCTTCTGTTTCTGGGTCTTTTTTTTTTTTTTTTTTTCAAAGGGCTAATGGTTGGAAGAAAACTGTGTCAGGCAGGAGGAAGCAAGGTCCCGGTGACCTCCCCCCACCCGGCTGCTGCTGCTGCGTGCCTGGGGGCAGGAATGTGGCGTGTTCCCCACCCCCCCTGCAGGGGGGTGGCCCCGGGGCGTCTGGAAGGTCCCTTCTCCGTCTCCGCGTTGTTTGTTCTGTTTCCTTGTGGAATTCGGATTATCTCGTGTTTGCCAGCCCGGCCTTCTTCCACGCCCCTCCTGACGCGGGCCGGGGAGGCCGGGCCGCCGTTCTTGCAGGAGTGAGCAGGCCGGGGCGGTGCGGGCCGGCTCCGCGCCGTGGGCTGCGGTGCCTGCTCCTCGCAAACAGCAGCCGTGTGGCACGCCCTTCCTTTCGAAAAGCTAACCTGGCGTCTCCGTGACATGTTTCCTTTGTTTGGTTATTTATTTGTAACGGTGGAGTGTCCTAATCCAGCTTGGTCAGGAATACTGCAAGCTGACTTCGAACACGCTGAAAAGCCTAGGGCTGTTATTTTGGGTGTAATTGGGCATTTAAAACACGTTGGCGGCAGCGCCGTCTTTCGTTAACTCAAAATATGACTCGACTTCTACCTGTCTGTGTAAGAAATGAGAGTTCTGTGAGCATCCGGCCCCCCTGGTGATGAGTTCCTGAAACCCCAGGGGCTCTCTGACCGGGACGCATCTCCCTGCCGCCCCGGGCGCTCTGTGCTCGCACGGCCGCTCCGTTTCATCTCATCTTTTCGCCGGTGCCCGTCCCCGGGCGAGCCGAGCGACTCTGCAGCAGGGCG